GCGTTAAGCTAGTTGACTAAAGCAACAAAACAAAATATTTAACATGAACAAATTGCATGTTTTACATGTAAAATATTTGATTTTATCATTACATATGTAAAAAAATACAAACGTCAGTTGTGTTTACCCGATCCAAATGTATGTAAGCAAAATTGACAGAAGAGACTAGATTTTTTACTTTCCAATTTTTACATACGTCTTGTATTCTCTCTCATACTTGTCTTTAACTCTTCGTGGGAAGTAATGTTTTCAAAGCTTCGTCAGCTTCTTCTAATATTTCATCCAGAATATGTTCAATTTTCCGTTTGAAACAATTATCCACTAAGCGACTACAGCGATCTTATGTCTACAATTCCAGGCCCACTAAAGTAAGACTTTTTCAGAAGCCAATACGTCATCAAATGTATGCTTGATTAGTAAGGATGTGCTACAATTTCTCAACTTTTAAATTATTCTTAAATGGAAACGAAAAAATTTGAACGTAACATGTGATAAAAAGGGATAATTTCACCCGCGGTAAATATGAAAACTCACTCCTGTCGTCGCCTGTTTTCTTGAACATACAACTCAAGCAGTTATACCTCTCTTTATCAACTCGTTTCGTTATTTACTATAATTGTCATTAAAAACAGCAAAGATTTTAAGAAGAGATTTTTTAAAATGTAGGTTTAGCTGTGGATTGTTTCAATGACAAGCATCATAGCACAGTTCTTTTTCAGGATAGCTCAAATCATATCTTCCATTTATGACTCGGGGTAGAGTAATTTGATGAAAATAACAGATTATCGTTCTACGGATTTTATTTTCTCAATAATTATAAATTGTTATTTAATTGCTACTATCATTTACTTCTGAACTGCTGGACACACGATTCTGTTCGATTCTCATTTGAATAGATCGAAACTGCTTTCACGTGTCACGACATTTATCATTTTCAGATTTTATAATGCCTTGAGTACATGTGTACACTTTTATGTAAATTCAATACGTTCTTACGAACACACTTCAATAATGTTCTCTTTTTAAAGTGTTAAGGTCATATATTGTAATCATTAAGGTTCTAATATCTTGCAAGCATTGGATAAAAAATTCCTTCTATCCAGACTTACTACCCTAGTACTTGCTATAATGAAGAGAACTAGTGCACTTTTCACGTACTAATTCGCAGTTCAGTCGACTTGATTACTCTTCAACCTATTACCTCCACTCCAAAAATGCTCCTCGTGCTCCAACACTAAAACTTACTTTGTCAAGAAAGAAAATAGCTTGAGAGCGAGAGTGAAGTAAAAAGAATGAACGTGGAAAATGTTTCATAAATGAAACTTCTCACGATGGAATTCATCTACTTAAGTGAATTAACTAGACTATGACATGCACGTTTTGAAACCCGGACTCACGTACTTCCATATCATTTTATTGCCAAGACTATTGAGGAGGCACTCAGAATGCAGGTCCGTGCTTCACTCCGTGTATTATGGGATTCTGACGGTGGATAACGCATCGCAAAGCAGTAACACGATGCTCCAGCGTGGTAAACAGCGGGAGATACACCAAAGAGCTCTACTACATTTCGAGATGAAGCAGCAGCGCTCGTGCACCCAAGGCCATCATTACGTTCTCAACAACTCCCTTCAAAGCACAGATACTCAAGCGCGACGGATAATGTAGGTATGGTGGATGGCTATACCCACACGGTAAAATACCCACTCGTAATTCGAAATGAGAGAAATGTTCAAATTCCAGAAATTAATCACGTTTCTCGGTTAATGCGTCATCTCAAAATGTATATGCGATCAACAATTCTGCAAGATCGGCTCAACAGATTTGCAATTCTATATGTTTATCGCGACATGACAGACAGCAGCAATTCGCAAAAATTATTAAAAGATTTTAAGCGAAAAATTGGAAAGCGCAGTGCTGTTTATCATTACCAAAGTGAACTCTGCTGAAGTTACATAAAATAAGTGTGATGACAAATATATGTAATGGCAATTGAATGATAAACATGCCAATTTGAAAAATAATCTGTTTTTTTTCTATCCATATGCATCTTCGGTGGGAGACGGAGGGGAAGAGAACCCCCTCCTGAGTCAATAACCCACACGGACTAAACACAAATCACCGGCTCTACAGATACTTCAAAAGATAACGAAGATCGAGAGAAACATTCAGAGAATGCATAACCGAATATATTACGGGCAATGCTAGTGTTAGGTTAAAAGATTGTACGTCAAAAAATGGACTAAAGTCTGTCCACCAGTTTATGGAGGACTACGGAGGAGGTTTATGGATATAAAAAATCTCTTTCCATTAGTCTAACAAGTATAATGTAAATTCTGAATAATTCCAGAAATTTACGTTTTCAGATCTATACTTGTTAGATATAAATATACTTTATTTTGAATCAACTCATGAACGTAGGTCTCTTCTTTGATAAGTTCTCGACTTTTACTCTTATAATCTAACTCTTCGGAATTATAACGGATTTGGGTATTTTCTCGTAACGGACTCAACGAACGATTCCTTTTGAATAATGTCGGTCGTCAATTGAGATCTTACTAAAGAACTGTCCGGCAACGAAGATTTTTTCCTAAAAATGCTTTGAAAATCATGCATTCAACAGAACCAAGGTTGTTTAAAGTATATTGCAAAAAGGCCGGAGCATACACACCAACTTGGAAATGGATAGCGAGCTTCAATATGGCCGTAAATTTTGGAATAAAAATACAACAGAAATGATGTGTTACGTGGTATATATTTGTACGTATTGTACCATTTTGTTCAAATTTGCTTTTGCCCTGTCATTCGTAAGTCGTATTTTTCGTGATAAGGAGTCGATTCCTTGTCGTTGGGCACGATAAGTATTATGAACCGCGGATTGTATACGGCAGGGTGGGGGCTCATCACAGATTCAAAAGAAAAATAAACAAAATTTATTTGCCAAGGACACGTACTTTCTAAAACAAAATTTACATATTTAGATCGACGCGTATATTAGTGAATAATTGTCGAATAATTAAACATATTTTCACAACAAAATTAAATTTTTGTACTAAATATTCTAAAACCGGGTACGAACTTATTTTTGTTTTCAGCACTAAGCACATTATTATTGATTACTGAAATGATATATAAAATGTGAATAGCAAAGGTCTTTCAAAATTTCCTACTTTAAGAACTATAAATGTTCAACTGTGCTACAAGAAAGTATCAGTAGTAGTCCCGCCAATTTATTTTATCAATTCTAGTTTTCCTTTTCATTATAAACAAATAACCTTAAAAATCTCTAAAATTTCAACCACGTACATCTCAAAACGGCTATGGCAGACCATTCAATTACTAATAAGGCAGATATTGTTTTAACACACAAAATTGTTTTTGCAATTATTTTTCATTTAATCACGCCAGCATTTACATGTAAAATGAACATCCGTTCGTTTATAATATGCGATCATAACGAGAGGAATAACATTTTCACAGGGCTTTATTTTCACATAGAATTTAATCGCTATGTGAAATATTGATGAGGCGGGTTTTCATTGCATAGTATCTTCATAAATAGTAAATTATCATAACAGAAATAAAAATAATAAGGCCCTGATTTCAAACAAATCATGAACGCTGTTTTTCCTGGTGGAAATTAAACAAAATGCTTCGATGCGAAATACTTGATGCGAAGTTGTTTGCACATTACGACAATCTAAATTGCTTCAACTTTTGTTTCCCAAGAACATACACGCACGCACTATCGCCGATCATCATTTCTCATATACCAGGCATTTCCTTATTCTTTACCACTTGCTTTGAATTTGCATATATATCTAGGCAAGTAATACGTATTCTCACACTATTCACAACTGCAATAGTTTCTAGAAATAGTTTCTACAAAAGCTTGAGCAGTTACTTATACGGCTTTTTTCTTACCTCGAATACACAAACTTTGACAACGTAATTAAAAATAGTAAGCGAGATGTTATACTAAAACAATACAAAATCGTAAACTGTCAAGTAATAGTAAAACATTTGCTGGAATCAGAGGTCATTGAGGCAGAAGCTTTTTTTTTTCGAAGAATTAAGTTTATAACGTTTAAGTCATTTACATTTCCTCTCAGTCTACTTAATTTCTCTTACAGTGTTTATTCATAATTCATAATAATTATTACTCTTAAAAGATTTTTAAATAAATTGAAATTTAATCACCAAAATATTTTTGTAAATAATTACTTTTCCAACATTTTCCCTCTCAATGGACCTGACTCCTCTTAATACTTTGACGACCCAAATGAAACTAAAATAGGAAATACCTTAACAAATGCCCGAGTTGTTTATGAAGTACCACGTGACGTGCAGAAATTCGCCCGCCATCAGACGTTTTCTTTCACTCATACAAGTACCACCCTTTCACAGCTACGTCGCACAGTCAACTGATCTTCAAAGCCAGCATATTCCCGTTTTCCCGCCTTCTTCTTTGATTGGTCGATCGAAGTTTCGGTCACTGCTCACTAAAACGTCATCGACCACGTTATCAAGCACTCATCTGCGGAATAAGTATAAAACTAACGTGTGTGAGAATTTTGGGGGAAATTTCCCATTTGAAATGTGTTCTAACCAGTTTCTGAAACAATAGTCTCACTCCTTAATTAATTTGAGATGAAGTACTGAAAAGTATGAAACCAATGAAAAAAAATAGAATTTTTTTAAAAATTGGATATCTATCGTAACATTTTCAGCTCTAGAAAAAATATACACACACAAATACATAAAAAATACATCAAAGGTACTTGAAAATGTTAGCATTAGGCATTCTTGGCTAAAAGTCATAATTATTTCAATAATGAAAATATAATAAGATTTTCATTATTAATAACACTGCTATCACATCTGCCTGGATTGATCGGAGGAATCCCTGGAAACGACCAAATAAAACTCCTGTCAGCAAGGAATCTTATCTAGTGAGGGATCTGCAACGCCCTTAGCGACTCAACCGCGCGTTCTACTCTTCGCCAAGGACAGGACTTGGGAGTTAGAACATTCCGGACTACGCCGTTACAGTCGGAATTACCTTGGCCAATATACAAACGCTAAGGAATCCAGCCAACGTACGTAGACATAATCATACTGAAGCAAAAGTAGTTATTGTTTTTGTTATTATTATTCTTGTTGTTGGTATTATTATTAACATCAATTGAGTCTTCAGTAGGATGTTAATTTCATACCCACCGGCGTATGCCGGTTATGAGAGGGACTACAGGCCGACCCAGTTTGGTAAAGTGGTAGAGCAATAAGAACGGACGAAAATCGGATAGTAAGATCCCGCATGATACGAAGCCTAGAAACGGCTATTTAAGCTAATTCTCTGACGTTCTTCTGGTAGTGGTTAGAGAAACTACTAATCACAGTTGACAAATTATATTTCCACAGACGCTACGTCGCATTCCGACAGACTCTACGTTTAACACGTCAACCAAATTTCTTGAATGAGATCGAACCTTCACGCATCAGCACCCTCGATTGCAAGGGGATTGCCATTACGTTTACTGCTACAGGTGCTGATATACAGAGCTATGATCTTTCTGGAGTCTGCCTTGGTACGTAGGAGCAAAACGAAATTAAAACATGGTTGTTTGCCAACGTTTCGGAAAATTATTTCCATCCTCAAGTCTTTGAACCACCCACAGATAATATTATATAAATTATTTCTCCAAAAGAATAGTAAATTTGTAACAACGATTTTTTTCATGAATTCTGAGTGATCAAAAATCCAAGGGATATCAACGTTTTTAGAAATACATTTAATATTATAAATAACTTACCAGATAGGTGTTTGGGGAATGTAACTTAATTTTCAGTGTCACTAAAGGAAATACAATATGGAATCAAATTTTTTTTTAACGAATAACAATTAACAATTTTCTTCTCTGTAGAGCCACTGAAGATGGAATATATTCCAGAAACACGCGTCTTGTTAATTATTTATTATATTAAATATATTTTTAAAATCTTTTTGTTTAATACTTCTAAGAAATAGAAAGTTTCCATACAATATACGTTTAAATAATACAAAATAACTAATATTGTAGATTTCATAATTTTAGTTTTAATGATCGTAAATTCAGTGGATCAAGTTGCAACTATTCATGTTATGCCAGAGCAGCAGTATAGTAATTCAAAACATTTCTTCGATTTAAATGTCTAGAAACACCTAAAAAACCCGTTTTTTAGGAACCCTTCCGGAATACGATTAAAATGATTGCCAATCGATTCGTCTTGTCAAGATAAATCGAATGAGACAGAGATCTTACACCTCTGTAAGTGCCTTATACCCACACAACCACCACCGAAAATTTCGAGAATTCTACGAGTGTTCTCTTTTCCTTAAATTCACTTAAGTTTGTTCTGGAAGGAAGCAGAAATAAATTGCCAGTTTTCGCACCGCGAGACGGAGGCGTGGCGATGTCATTTCACGCGCTCCGAATGATGGGCCCGGACAGGTGTAGCCGTGAGTAATGAACGGACACAGTCACACTGAGATTCGCAGGTCATCTGATGACTACATGCAGGACGACAAGCACAATGCCGAGAAGCGGGAACTTCTTGTGCATCGTCCTTGCATCAGTCTGTTGCGTGCAATTGCGTATTTGTATGAATAAAAAGGCATCAATTACTTCATAAAGAATTAAAATACGTAAATCCCAGTAATAAAAAAACAAAAATAAGTACGATTCATTTTCTTCATTGTGTTTTTTAATGCTAATTTTCGTGATGGGAGATGTCTAATTACCTGTTGTAGTCAAATTTCCCCTTCACACACTTAATGCAGACAACAAAATATTTCATTTTTTAACCACCAGATACCTGCGTGCACGGAATAATGTGATCAGTTCCCTTGTGCCAATGACCTACAAGAACAAGATCCTCTCCAATGAAGTCGTAGGCTTCCGCGGCCAGAGTCATGTGGCTGATCTGGGCTGTCCGGGTGACGCCGCGTCGAAGGCTGTGTTGCCGACGTTTCAACCATCCTGTCGTGGTCTTCCTCAGGGCTGATATCAATGTTTTGGTCGATTTGTAAAAGCCCTGAGGAAGACCACGACAGGGTGGTCGAAACGTCGGCAACACAGCCTTCGACGCGGCGTCATCCGGACAGCCCAGATCAGCCAAGATCCTCTCCAGTACGTCCGCAGAGTCGATTGGCGCTCAGCAAAACGGCGTCAATGGGGGCACGCGGTTAGTCACGCACACAGCGCGACCTCTCGTAAACCACTCGCCGCGTTCGATTTGCACTCGTTTGCATTCGCCGATGAGTTACGCTAATTCTCGCGCCCGCTTCGAGCCTTGAGCCAGCGCCCGCGCGATCGCCATGCAAAAACGAGTGATGCACATGAAGTGGCGCCCGTAGGCACTCGCATTCTGTTTGCGAAGCGGCGGGCGGGGTGTAACTGGAACAGCACTTAGTGCAGGGGTGTCCTAAATGCACCGAATCAGTAGTTGATTATCGACACGACTACACGAGTTTTCTGTGATCTGTACCAAGGCTTTTCAAACATTTAAAACACACACCTGAACAGTTTAACGTACCCCCGCGATAACATTTCCCGAAATGATGGATTTAACAGAATCTGAATAGTTTTAGGGCTTTTTTTAGCTAGTTTTTCACTCGCTTAGTAAAAAACTATAGAATATGGAAGAAGCCATTAACGTTTCATTTCAATGGTTTAATTCTTCAATTCTTCTAAGGGTAGTTAAGGTTTTATCGCGGGAGGGGGCGGTAACCTCCGCTGTATGGCGAGATCTGACGTTGACCAACCCGTCGCTTGGTGAGGTTTTCTCCATAAGCGGTACACCGCTCCAGATCCCGCCTGCTTTAAGTACCTCACTGATCTCCCAACATGTGTAGTAGTGTAATGCATGTAAGTGTACGCGTTTGTAGGGGGAGGATAGAGCAAGGTTGATAAAGGAAACATAGAGCGCTGTTGTGGCCCTTTTATTTGGGTACTGCAGCGGTATTCGTTTGGTGTTGACCGGAGAAATCACGGAAAACGACCGATTAGAACAGTCGGGGGCTAAAATTCTCCTCCATACAGCGACTGAATTCTAACTTGCTGCCTAGCTGGGGTTAAAAATCCGGTCACAGTCGGATCTCGAACCTCTACTGGACAGAGGTATTACAGTGACGTCAAACCATTGTGATAGGAAAGGGGAGGGCGTTGACTGTAAGCAGCCTCCTTCGCTTACGTTAAGAAATCGAAATCAATAATGCACCTTTTGTAGTACAGAGCGGTAATTCACTATCTTGCATAGGGTAGAAACTTGTTTCAGATCAATAGTGGTAGGAGAACGACTCAACTGAATATGATTAATAAGTATACGCAGGATACTTGTGGAAAGGAAGAAGATAAAACATGAAACATTTAAAACACGCTTTTAAAAATATTCTCATAAAGTTGTTTTCGAGAAGAAAATATATTTTAAAAATGTGGATTCCATTTTGTTTCTTTATCAGTTATAGCCTATGTTATATTTAGTAAGACAATTTATGATCCCTTTTGTGATTAGCTAGAAGAATTGTTTACAATAATCTACATAAAAAGAATGGAAAGAAAGAGTTCATATTTATTCTTATCCATGATTTAAAACAACTTTTCAAGAACTTATTTATGTTGACATATTTAGGTCCATCTGATAAATTGTTCATTATATGGACATAAAACGTCAAAACTTTAACTAAACAAGAACATTATTTTTTGTAGTGTTGCCCACACTGTGAAATCAAACATTATTTAGGATTAAAATCTTCGTATAAATATTCAACTGTTATTTGTGCTGACTGATACTGAATGCCGAGACAAAAAATATTTTGTTTCTAATAATATTACTACAAAAATCAAATAGTATTTATTTTATTATTTATATATTAATTATTCTTTCACTTCAAGAAAGTAAAATATACATTTTATCGATTTCTATAAATAATAATTGTGATTGGAAGAAGTTAATTTTAATGCTATCCATTTTTAATTCTATATTAATTTTATACACTTAAATGTATAATGTAATGTTATTTATTTATGTATTATATTAATTACGTCTGTCACTTGTACCTTATTATTAACAATAATCCTTATTTCTATTTTTCCTTTCGTTGATGAAAACTTTGGCTATGCTCATGATCATTATCTTCAAATATTTCTATCGAATGTGGAATCCGTATACTCTTCGTTGGTCACCCGTTTGTAACCCCTGATTTTAGGCAATGCAGGGGTCGATGGAATGGTCTCGGGTATGGTAGTCGATGCGGACAAACATTGTTCTCCGAAGCGCAAATTACGCTAATGAAATTTACATACAAACGCGAATTTTGGAAAGCTTAATGTGATTGAGACAAACGACAAGCTGTAAAACAATATGTATGATGTTACATGGCGTGAAAATATTTTTAATGTCAGCTATGATCTTTGACCGTGACACGTGTTTTCAAATATATAATATGAAATGTGATTCATTGTGTTTAAAAGCAAACTACAAGAGCAACAGGAAATTCAATGGAACAAATGCCTTGGAAATCAGTGTTTTAATATAATTTATATCCAGGAGATTTTGTACATTAATTACGGAGCGCTAATTTTATCGTCTTTCTTAAGTTCGTAATGAGGCTGCAAATACGATTAAGTTCTCTCCTTAATTCATTCATTGGCAACTTTTGTCGACTTACAAAGCAATAAGACAGGGAAAAATGTATTGTTTTTTGCCAATAGGCTATATTGCTGGTAAAAAAATCAATGTCTCAAAAGAAGTAGTATTATAAACCCTATTTTCTTGAGACTTTTCAGGTATATGCCTTCTACCATTTAAACCTGGCAATGGCTCATTTGATTCCTCCAGACAAAATGAATCGATTGACTCTATTCTTAGCCGGATCCCTCTCGAATTTTCTGCAAGAATTCTAAAGAATGTGATTTTTTGATGATTTCACTGCACGAATACAGTGCGTCAGAAAAGACTCTCCGCACCGAGTAAAATCACGGCCTCCTAAAATTGCATTTATATCGGTAGCAACCAGATCACTTGGAAACAAGTGAAGGGGGCAACACTTTCAGCATCT